GGGGTAGTCGTCTTTTCCGCCTCTCGATTAAGTGTAGTGTTGGCGGGAGCCATACTCGCGAGGTTGTGTTGAAGAATGTCGGTAAGAAGAGTTGACGGGAACTTGAACCGCGGGAGGGACTGTGTCTTCGCCAGGATGAACGAGAACTAGGAAAGTAAAACTAGAAATTGGAAATGAAGAACGTGGGTGGAGCTACTGGAATCACGTTCCTCTTTTGTAGGCAAAAGAGGGGTGAGTAGCGTCGAGCCGCTACCTTTGCTGCGTTGGCCATGTCCTCGCTTTCACAATACGAAATTTGAAAAAGTGTTGCACTTTTAAAAATTATAATTTCAAATCAAGAGAAAATATATCAACGGCCCTCTTGAGCAATCCTAACCAGTCGGGACCCTAGCCTGCTCACCGAACTCGCCGCGGAAGGCGTCCTCGAGGCGGCAGAAACAGCGGGCCTCACCGCGCCCCAAATGGCCGCAGATGACGCCGACCTAATGGCCAGTGCGACGCACGTACGGGCAAGGACCAGTAGCAAAACCTCCACCGCCGGTGGAGCTCCGCTGAGCAACCCACTCACGAAGCTGCTGCGGCGAGGGAGTCTCCTACTGACGTGGCTGCTGCTGCTATTGCTCCTGTCCACCCCCAGAACCGCCACCTCCACCGGCTTCTCCACCAAACGTAGCGCCACAAGACGCCGCCTGTGCACCACCCCCGCCAGCTTCACTACGGCCACCACCGCAACCCCCTCCGCCATCGGCACCTCCACTATCCCCACCACCCCCACCCTTCTTACGCCCACCCCTGTTGCGCCTCCCCCAAGTAGCGGACGCAGCACCGACCTCCTCAACACCGAGGAAGTCAACAGCAGCAGTAGAGGCAACAGAGGACCCCGGAAGGGAGGGAGTGCACCCCTCAAAGAAGGAGGTGCTGGGGGTGCCACGGGAGGCAGCTACAGCGCGGCACTGGTCTTGGCCTCGAGGAGACGAGTCTCAAATGAGGCAAGGTCGAGACTAGCGGGGTCGAGGGAGAGGAAGTGGTCTCGAACAGCACGAAGGGTGTCGGGGAGGCGAGTCGTGGGGAAGTACAAAGTGAGGTACATGGGGGGGTGGTTCTCAGCCAGAAACTCTGGCTTGAAGGCAGCACGGTAACGAGAGTCAAGAGAGCGCAGGTGGGTCATGAGGTCAGCCACAGTGGTGAAGTCTGACAGCCCATGGAAGAGAAACGGCAGCGCAAGACGGCCTAGGGTGGCAGAAGAGGGGGAGGAGTAGCGCTTAACCACAACGTCATAGAAAGTCTGGGCCGACGTCACCTGGCAAAAGTGGGCCCTCTGGTCGGGCGAGAAGTGAGCACGGACTGCAAGCTTGGCGCTAGCGTCGCACGCCGTCCCTTGTGTGCAGGCAATGCGGTCAGCCCGGTACTGCTTCTGCACAGCCTCCGTAGCAGTAGAAACAGGCTCAACTGGAGTCTTGGGGGCCTTGAGGGACCCTGACGTGTGCTCAAACAGCGAGACGTCGTCCCTGGTGACACTATGCAGGTACAGGTGCAGGTCCTCTAGCCAAGACTCGAACTCGATAGGGCGCCCCTCTGCGTCAAACGTGAGCACAGTAATGGTCGCCATGGCGGAAATTAGGTCAGGCGACAACACTAAGAACTATACGACGGCACTGGGGACTATAGTCCAGGAAATAGCTGCAGTTGTAGGCACGGGCGGCGGCTCGGGGTGCAGCGGAAGAGCGGGCAGTACGGCAGTAGGTATGCTCGACGGCCGGCAGTGCGGCAGTGCGGCGCGGCGTGGAGGTAGGCAGGGCGGCTGGTGGCACGGCGCGGTGGTAGGCAGGGCGGCACGGGGGCGCGGCGAGGCGGCGGGCAGGGCGGCGCGGCGGCGCGGCGCGGTAGCGGGCGGTAGTGGGCAGCGGCAGGCCGACAGCGGGCGGCTAACTAGCGGCAGCGGGCGGCTAGCGAGTTGCAGCGGGAGGGTCGCGAGTCAGACGCGGGCAGCTGCGGGCAGGCTAGCGGTCGCGGGCAGCGAGTGGCGGGCGGGCAGCTAGCGGGCGGTCAACGAGCGGCAGCTCGCGCAGCAGCGGCATCAGCTGCGGTAGTGCGCGAGCAGCAGCTGCAGTAGGAGTGGCAGCAGCGCGCGCCCGAGTGGCTGGCGGGCGGCTAGCGGGTGGGCAGCAAGCAGCATAGAGCCGGGCGCGAGCGGCAGCAGGCGGTAGCAGCGGGCAGCAGCGACAGTAGCAACGGCAGCAACGTGCAGTAGCAGTGGCGGCAGCGCGTGCGAGCAGCAGCAGTAGGAGCTGCAGCGCGCGAGCAGCAGTGGCAGTAGGAGTAGCAGCAGCGCGCGCGCGAGTGGCTGGCGGGCGGCTAGCGGGCGGGCGGCTAGCGGGCGGGTGGCGAGCGGCAGAGAGCCGGGTGGCGAGCGGTAGAGAGCCGGGCGGCGAGCGGCAGAGAGCCGGGCTGCGAGTGGCAGAGAGCCAGGCACGAGTGGCATTGGGCGCTAGCAGCGCGCAATAGCTCACGCAGCAGCGTCAGTAGCAGTGGCAACACCGCGCGAGAGCAGCAGCAGCAGCAGCAGCGCGCGCGGGGGCAGTAGCGGCAGCAACGCGCGAAGTAGCAGTGGCAGCAGCGCGTGTGAGTAGCGGCAGCAGCGCGCACGAGCAGCGGCAGTAGCGCGCGTAGCAGCGGCAGTAGGCAGGGCAGCGCACGAGGCGCGCAGCAGGGCTGTGGGCAGGGCGCACGTAGAGGCAGCAGCGCGGGCAGTGGGTAGACGGGCTAACATATGATACCATGTTAGAACTACGAACAGTGGAGTGATTGAGTAGGAATGATGGGTGATACAAATACTAACCCTAAAAGGGTTGTACCCCATACAGGATACCTCACTACACCCTATAACCAGAGATATGCTATTTGACACAAGTAACTAGTTACCATAAACATTACAGCCATACGAAACATGCCAAGGTGCATTTGCTCAGCATGGCCTGCCAACAGCGGTTTGCATGGCAATAATACACTCCCCCCCAATATGTCAAAAGCAGTGCGTTGTAGACGCACGGAATGCTGAAGTTAGTCATGGCACATATCTGGGTATGTGTGATAGTTCTAAGGTAAGCCCCAGCATGGCTGAAATCTTAGGAAATTTGACTACACATGCGAAGGGCTTATTTGTTGAATATGGTATCTTGACTTTTCAATGTAGGAACCCTATTTCTTTTGGGCAGAGTACTACAACTACTCTTTACAGTTCACGATAACACTTTCTGGAGCCTTTGAAATTTTAGGAACATACATATGTATACATGGTATTTCTTCTTGGTTATTTGAGCCATTTTTACCGACCCTCTTTTAGACAGGGTCTCATGGTGTTGCGCTTGCGTTTCGCCTTCTTGTACCCCTCTATATGCCTCGTTCAAATCATCATCATAATCTACGTTGACGACCTTGCCTTCGCTTCTTCAGACAGAGTCGCACTGGCCTCGGTGAAGGCCGAGCTGCTGAAGAAACACACGCGCTCAGACCTAGGTGAGCTGCGCCGCTATCTTGGCTTACAGATCGCTATGAACGGAGCGTCGTGCACCATCACGCTGACTCAGTCATTCATGGTGCAACAGATCATCCAGCGCTTTGGCCATCAGTTCTCCTCTGCAACGCCCACTCCTCTTGCTGTTAGCCACATGCTCTCGACCCCTGTTGAATTCAGTCGTCAGTACGCAGAGCTGGTGGGGTGCTACATGTACCATTGACCAGCACATGCCCAGGTCTCGTACACCCTCTCATCAACCTTGCTCGCTATGTTGCGACTTGAAGACACCGACCTGCGTACTAGTCGGCTGCTAAGAGTGTATTGCGTTATCTGGCCAGTACATCAGGCATGGGGCTTGTGCTCGGAGGACAAAATCCAATTGCACTCATGAGACACCCTAACACATCATGGATAGACGACATCAAGATTCTCAGGTCCTCTGAGAGCTACTGATTCAGTTTTGACACTGGAATTCTCTTGTGGATGTCTACACGCTCTTCGTCGGTGGCACAGTCTAGCTGTAAGGCATAGATTTACGGTGGTACTTTGGCTGCTCTGGAAGCTGGCGTTCTTGCTCACTGACTTAGGTGAGCCACCTAGTGGTTAAAAACTGTGTTGCACCTCTCCCCCCAGACCATATGTGGCGCAATGGGTGTGATGGTTGCTTCGGGAAAACCAGAGGCCAACCCCTCTATATGGATTTGAGGTCACCCACCCTTTTCAAATCTAACCACATGCAAAATATAATGAGGACCCTGTGTGTGTATGTGTGTGTGGTTGGGGTGAGGGGTGTGTGTGTGTGTGTGGTCTCTGTGTGCGCGCGTGCGTGTGTGTGTGTGTGTGTGTGTGTGTGTGTGTGTGTGTGTGTGTGTGTGTGTGTATGTGTGTGTGCGTGTCTATGCATGTGTGTGTGTGCGTTTGTGTATTTACGTGAGTGTGTGTTTGTGTGTGTGTGTGTGGGTGTGTGCATGTGTGTGTGTGTTTGTTTTGTGTGTGTGTGTGTGTGTGTGTGTGGGGGTCAACTTTTCTGTCCCTTTTCTGCCAGTGCACGCCAATTAGCCATGCTACCATAGACATATGTTCAAGGAGGATCAAATATGTTGCCTACGGTAATAGCCAGCACCATGTGCCCTAGGTTAAGCATGTCTAGATGCCCTAAAGCAAGCAGTCTTACGGTAACGCCTCGTTCGCAAGCGACATGGATTATTATGCGGTACTGAGTTTGCGCTAAGTCTGAACTGAACACTTCAAATACCCCAATCATCCATACAAAACGCAGAATCCTAAAACATTTGTCCCGATACCTATAAGACATAGCCATAAAATCCATTTCAATGCAAAAACAAGATTCAAGATGGATGAATGCACTGACCAGTAGGCTGAAAAAGTGTGAAATATACAGTACCTTTCTCAGTACGGTACCATTCCTACACGAAATGACGCCATTCAGACAAACTCAGCAAAAAAAAAAAAAAACGGTCATTCATATGCTGTAGGATTGATACCCATCTTCAGGCCGTGTCATGCCTTCCTCCCAATCGTCCATCTTTGATCCGCCAACTGTCACCTTTCTTATACCCACATGGCTGCAAGAACAGTAAAAAGGGGGCATAAGCACAAACTTGGCATCATATGACAAACAATCCTGATGCCACATTGGAGTAAAAGGCGAAACTGGAGCGAACCAATAAATCAACTAGTTGTAAATTTGAAAGACTTACATTATATTCTTTGCAAATCACCACAAGTAGTGTAGCAACCGGCACACGAAAATGCTTTAAAGCACTCACTCGGAGCTAACAGCATTGAGGGAGTTGATGAGAACGTCGACAGCCATCATGTCTGCTGTACCCATGTCTAGCCTGGTGAGGGGGGGAAAAGAGTGTGTGGTTGTGTGTGTGTGTGTGTGTGTGGAAGAGAGGGCAGGGAGGAGAGGGAGAGTTGAGAAAAATGTCGATTGCCTTGCCATCATGTCTGCTGTGCCCATGTACAACCTGGTGAGTGGGAATGATTCTGTGAGAGAAGGTAAGAGTTTGTTTGTGTGTGTAAGTGTGTGTGTGCATGTGGTGAGAGGAAAGTGGGAGAGTTGAGGAGAATGTTGACTGGCATCATGTCTGCTGTACCCATGTCTAGCCCGCCTGGGGAGAAGGAGAAGAAGTGTTTGTGGGGCAGGGAGGGAGAGAGGGAGGCGAGGAGAAGAGAGTTGAGGAGAATGTCGAGTGCCATCATGTCTGCTGTGCCATGTTTAACCTGGTGAGTATGAGAGAGTGGGTGAGAGAAGGTGAGTGAGAGTGTGTGTGTGTGTGTGTGTGGTGAGAGGAAAACGGGAGAGTTGAGGAGAATGTCAACTGCCATCATGTCTGCTGTGCCATGTTTAACCTGGTGAGTATGAGAGAGTGGGTGAGAGAAGGTGAGTGAGAGAGTGTGTGTGTGTGTGTGTGGTGAGAGGAAAACGGGAGAGTTGAGGAGAATAGCGATTGCCATCATGTCAGCGGTGCCCATGTCTATCCTGCAACCACAACGTGAGTAGTCTCGCCGTCTCAGTGGGGCTGTCTCACCATAATCCCCAGGTTGTCTTGCAACTACAGGTCAGGTCACCAACGCTGTGCATCACGGCAGGTAAAGCAGCTGCTGCCGTGCCCACGTGTGCATCAAGGCAGGGAGAGCAGTATGAATCCATACAGCCCGATTCCAGATGCAACCACCAGTGGTTACCACCCCCCAGTCATCTCATAGCAGTCTCACCATCTCATGGTCTCACAGTCTCACCATATCCGCCCCAGGTTGTCTTGAAACTCGAGGTCCCCAACGTTGCGCATCAACGAAGGTAGTGCTGTATGTACCCACTAGGCTCTCAAACGCAATCATATCTGCTGGTAGGTTGGTAACCACATTGCAAGCCTCACCATATCCTCCCCAGGTTGTCTTGAAACTCGAGGTCCCCAACGTTGCGCATCATGGCAGGGAGGCAACGATGTGTCCACACACTAGCCTACCAGATGTAACCACCACCACACCTGGTAACCATATCTGGTAGTAACCACATCTTATAACCACACCATGAATCTCACCATATCCTCCCCAGGTTGTCTTGAAACTCCAGGTCCCCAACGTTGTGCATCAAGGCGGGTAAAGCAGATGCTGCCGTGCCCACATCGTACTTGTATTTGGACGATTCGTCTCCCTCCATTAGCTGGGGTGGGATGAGAAGAGGGGACACGGCAGGGAAAAGAGAGGCATGTGGGCACATAAGAGCAGCAGGGAGGGCAGATGCTGCCGTGCCCACATCGTACTTGGATTTGGACGATTCGTCTCCCTCCATTAGCTGGGGGCGAGAATGACAGGGTGAAGAGAGGGAGGTGGCAGGTACTTGGGTACATAAGAGCAGCAGGGAGAGCAGACGCTGCCGTGCCCACATCGTACTTGTAGTTTGAGGACTCATCGCCTTCCATTAGCTGGGAGGGAGGGCAAGTGAGTGAGGGGCACAGGGGAGAGAAGCAAACAACAGTAGTTGCAGAGTCGCCTTCCATTAGGTAAGAGGGAGGGAAAGTGAGTGAGAGGCACAAGGGAGAGACACGGGCATCACTGGTTGCAGGGCAGCTGCTGCTCTGGCCACATCATACGTGTTACATGACCTGTCTCCATCCATTAGGTCCCTAGCCCCCTACCTGCAGGTTGGCCGAGCTGTACCCCCCAAGATAGCCCACCACGTACCAGAGCAGAGGATTGCCGGGCGTGCTTGGTGCCTGCCTACACGCGCACCCTTTCCTCACACGGCCTGCCATCCACGGTGGATACAATACAAGCCCCCCTAGCTTAGCTTCACACCTGCAGGTTGGCCGAGCTGTACCCCCCAAGATAGCCCACCACGTACCAGAGCAGAGGATTGCCGGGCGTGCTTGGTGCCTGCCTACACGCGCACCCTTTCCTCACACGGCCTGCCATCCACGGTGGATACAATACAAGCCCCCCTAGCTTAGCTTCACACCTGCAGGTTGGCCGAGCTGTACCCCCCAAGATAGCCCACCACGTACCAGAGCAGAGGATTGCCGGGCGTGCTTGGTGCCTGCCTACACGCGCACCCTTTCCTCACACGGCCTGCCATCCACGGTGGATACAATACAAGCCCCCCTAGCTTAGCTTCACACCTGCAGGTTGGCCGAGCTGTACCCCCCAAGCTTACCCACCACGTACCACGCTCGTATGACGTGCCATGCTTGGTAAATATACACATACCCCTCCCTCACACAACCACCCTACCTGCAGGTTGGCTGAATTGTAGCCTCCTAGCTTGCCCACCACGTACCACGCTCGTATGACGTGCCATGCTTGGTGGCTAGCTACACACTCACACACACCCATCCCTCGCACGGCCTGGCATAGCGTTGAATATAATACAATACAAAGTCCCCTACCTGGCCTCCCACCTGCAGGTTGGCGGAGTTGTATCCTCCTAGCTTGCCCACCACATACCATGCTCGGATGACCTGCCATGCTTGGTAATTATACACATACCCCTCCCTCACACAACCACCCTAGCCTCGTACCTGCAAGTTGGCTGAGTTGTACCCTCCCAGCTTTCCCACCACACACCATGCTGTGATGACCTGCCGTGAACACACGGTGACTGCACAAATACCACCACTCACATCCCGTAGGCCATACCCCCACTATCCCCATGGTCACACCTGCAGGTTGGCCGAGTTATAGCCTCCTAGCTTGCCACCACGTACCATGCTCGGATGACCTGCCATGCTTGGTGCCTACACACACCCACCCCTCCCTCCCTCGCACAGCATGCCCTTGGTTCCTGCCGTTCTCCTCTGCAAGGTTTCCCAGAGTGGTATAAAGTGGTACCTGCAGGTTGGCGGAGTTGTAGCCTCCCAGCTTGCCCACCACGTACCATGCTCGGATGACCTGTCGTGCATGGTGCCTACACATGAACACCACTCCTTTGCACAGTCTGCCTTGGTGCCGATACAATACAAGGGCCCCTATCCTCGTACCTGCAGGTTGGCGGAGTTGTAGCCTCCCAGCTTGCCCACCACGTACCATGCTCGGATGACCTGCCATGGTGGGGGGCGGGGGGGGATATGGATGGGGAAGGAAGAGGGAAGGGACAGGGGAGACGGGAAGGGGTTGTTGTGAGAGAAACAGAGTCAGATAGATGAACAAAGGAACAAGAAGGTGAGGAATGGAACGAAAGAAAGAGCATAGGAAGTAAAAATCGTTCCTGAAAACCAGACCACTCACACTGCCGAGTGTGTTCATATCGTCTTCTGATGGTGTCTTGTGAAGCTCGAACCAGATGTACATGTCAAATGGGTCAATCCTATAACGAGGATAGGGATAACAAGGAGGAGGATGATGTCTATATGTGAAGCTCGAACCAAATGTACATGTCAAATGGGTCGATCCTATAACGAGGATGGGGGATAGGAGCGGGGTGAAGGCACGAAAAGCGATAAGGGAGAATGCTATGTGCAACTCAAACCAAATGCACATGTAAGTTTGATGAACTTTAGAAAGAGGATAGGGACGAGGCAATATCAAGAGGTAAAAAGGAGCAAGCAAGAGTATTCTAGGCAGCAGCATCACACCCTTTAAAAGAAATTCTAGGCAACTCTCAAACCAGATATACAGGTGTAATGGAAGGATCAATTCTAGAATGGCTATTTCAATACTGTACAGTACATACTCTTTAATGGCCACCTGCATCGTGCCTCCGCTGCCTCGCTTCTCTGCCAGCAGCTCTGCCTGCTTCGATCGAATGCGCTCCTCCATCTGGCAGGCAGTAAGGGGGGAAAAGGGGAGAGGAGTGAGGGGGAGAGGGTAGAGAGGTGGCGGCACCAGCAGCACCTCCCCACCTGCATCGCGGCTCCGCTGCCGAGCTTCTCCGCCAGCAGCTCCGCCTGCTTCGATCGAATGCGCTCCTCCATCTGGGGGGTAGAGGGGGAGACGAGAGAGAGGAATGAGGGGAGAGGGTAGAGGAGTGGCGGCACCATCAGCGCCATCCCGCCTTCCTCGTGGTTCCGCTGCCTCGCTTCTCCGACAGCAGCTCTGCCTGCTTCGAGCGAATGCGCTCCTCCACCTGGCAGGCAGTAAGGGGGAGAGAGGGGAGAGAGGCGAGGGAGCGGAAGGAAGATAAAGAGGGACGAGAGGCACCAGCAGCAGCACCACCCCACCTGCATCGCGGCTCCGCTGCCCTGCTTCTCGGCCTGCAGCTCTGCCTGCTCCGCTGCCGTGCTTCTCGGCCTGCTTGGAGCCGAGAAGCAGGGCAGCGGCAAGGCAAGCGCGGCCGAGAAGCAGGGCAGCGGCAAGGCAAGCGCGGCCGAGAAGCAGGGCAGCGGCGAGGCAAGCGCGGCCAAGAAGCAGGGCAGCTCTGCTTGGAGCTCCAAGCGGGCAGCTCTGCCTGCTTGGAGCGAATGCGCTGCTCCATCTGGTGGTGGAGGGGAAGAGGGGAGATGGGGGTGAGAGGTCAAGGGGGTGATGGGGGGGTTTGAGAGGTCAAGGGGGTGATGGGGGGTGAGAGGTCAAGGGGGTGATGGGGGGGGGGTGAGAGGTCAAGGGGTCAGGGGGGAGACAGGGGAGGGAGGGGAGGGGAGTTGGGTTAAGACAGCAGCTCCGCCTGCTTGGAGCGAATGCGCTGCTCCATCTGGTGGTAACAAGGCAGGAGGTGATGGGGGTGAGAGGCCAGGGGAGAGGGAGAGGGGCGAGGAGGGGGGGGGCCTGGTACCCTGGTGCAGTGCAGGTACCAGGGTTCATATTGCTTTTGAGACGTCTCAAAAACAACCTCGCTACACGAGGGGGGGCCCTGGTACCCTGGTGCAGTGCAGGTATCAGGGTTCATATGAGGCGATTTTTGAGTCGACTCAAAAATCGCCTCATCACAAGGGGGGGCCCTGGTACCCACCCTGGTGCAGTGCAGGTACCAGGGTTCATATTGCACCTGCATGTGGCTTTTGAGATTTCTCAAAAGTGACTCAGATGCAGCTGCATGTGCTCCAATCAAGCGAGCGAATGCGCTCCTTCTGTTGTATACCCAGAATGTATACCCAACCTTGTGTTGCTAGTGGAAGGGACGAGTCGTACCCTCCTGCTCTTCTTAACGCACCCCATCCACCCCACACCACCCCACACCACCCCACACCACCCCACCCCGCCCAACACCGCCCGACCCAGCCCCACCACACCCCACCCACCGCACCTTCTCCTGCATCTGCTGCGGGTCCAGCACTGCATGGCCAAACAAGTAAAGACAGCTGAAATTTCACATCACACCCCACCTCACACCGCACTACCACCGCACCCCACCCCACTCCACCGCGCCTCACCTTCTCCTGCATCTGCTGTGGGTCCAGCATGGCATCTCCAAACAGCTCCATGAGCTCGGGGTCCTGCGCTGCCACTTGGCTGTTAAAGCACAATGGGGGAGTGGAGTGTGGTGTGGGTGGGTTGGGTGGGGTTTCAGAGCAGATAGTCTGGTACAGCTTCTCGGACCAGCTCCATCAGCTCAGGGTCCTGCGCTGCCACTTGGCTGTGGGGGGGAAGAGTGGAGTGGGGTGGAGTGGAGTGGAGTGGAGTGGAGCGTGATGGAGCGTGGGTGGGGGTAGGTGAGGGTTAAGAGCAGATAGTCCAGTATGGCATCTCCATGAGCTCAGGGTCCTGCGCTGCCACTTGGGGGGAAGAATGGAGTGGAGTGGAGTGGAGTGGCGTGGAGGGGAGTGGCGTGGAGTGGAGTGGAGTGGCGTGGAGTGGAGTGGAGTGGAGTGGAGTGGAGTGGAGTGGAGTGGAGTGGCGTGGAGTGGAGTTGAGTGGAGTGGAGTGGAGTGGAGTGGAGTGGAGTGGAGTGGAGTGTGGGTCGTTGGGTGTTAAGAGCATAAGATCCAACCAGCATGGCATCGCCAAACATCTCCATCAGCTCGGGGTCCTGTGGTGCCACCTGGCTGTCAAAGCACAACACGGGGGTGTGGAGTGCGGTGTGGTGCGGTGTGGGTAGGTGGGGTTAAGACGAGGATCCAGCATGGCATCCCCAACCATCTCCATGAGCTCGGGGTCCTGCGCTGCCACTTGGCTGTGGTAAGGGAGCCAATAGGGGGAGGAGGGAGGGGTGCGGGAGGGGAAAGAACAAAAATGGGGGGGGGGAAGTGCAAAGGTGTTAAGGCGGGATATCGGGCGGGAAGGGGGAGGAGGGTAAAGGTTGCACCACACGCCTGGCTGTGCTCCCACGCTCCCATCGCGGGGCGTGTGGTGGTGTGCAGTGCAACCTTTCTGCCCTCACACTCTCTCACGCCCCTCTCACACTCTCGTTTGAGGCGCCTCAAAAGTTGAAAAGGCTCCTCCACACGTCCGAGTGTGCTCTCTTTTTCTTCTGCACCATTATTATAAGCACTTTCTGCAGTCTGTCCCGCTCTTAGACCCTAAACCCGAACACCCACTTTGTCTCGACCCTCTCACCCGCCGCCATTCGACCCTCTCACCCGCCGCCATTCGACCCCCTCCCCATCCCCCTCGCTCCCCCCCTCACCTCGCCCACTACTGAAACTCCTCCGCCCATTCCCTCCACTGCACCCAGCCTCCCGGTCTTCCCCACAAAACTCACCTCCCTTCACCCCCCTCACCGCCTCTTACCCCTTCCCTCCCCCTCCCCCCTCACCTCGCCCACTGTTGAAACTCCTCCTCCGCCGATTCCTTCCGCTGAACGCGCGCCTCCCGCGACTTCTCCAGCCGCCGTTGCCGCGCTGCGCTCATCCCCTCTGCGCCCCCTCCCCCGATCCGCCTCCGCCCGCCGTCGCCGCCGCCACCCATTCCCGCACTTCCCTCTCCCCACATCCCCGCGCTTCTCTCTCCGCCCATTCCCGCGCTTTCGCCTCCGCCTAAAATCCCTCCGCCATTCGCCTCCATCCCTCCCTGCCATTCCCCTCTGCTAGTAGGGTTACCACCGCTGCTGCCACCCGAACTTTGAGGCGATCCTAGATCCGAACCTCGAGGCGAACCTGAGTTCGAACTTTCTGGCGAACCTAGCTCCGAACTTTGAGGCGATCCTACATCCGGACCGCCACCAAGCCTAGTTCGCCTTCTTTGCCGCCCGCGACGGGGCGACTCGGCCGCGTCTCGCGCCGCGTCCTGCGGCGACGTGCTTCCTTCTCGCCCGTCCGCTGCCGCCGCGGCAGCGGTGATGATTAATCGAGCGCGTCGCGCGTGTGCCTCGGAACGCGGTGCGAGAGAAGTCGGCGGAAGCGCAAATGGCGGAAGCGCAGACGGCGGAAGAGAAGTCTGCGGGGGGAACCTTGCGGAATATGGGGTCGCAACACCGCGACGACCGCTAAATGCGGCGTAGATCGCGGCCGTCGAGGCGCCTCGTGCGAGTACGGACATTGCCATTACGTACACCTAATACGCCTACTTACGCGTCGCGCCCTTATGCGTCTAGTTTCGAAGGGCCTAAAATTTGAAATTCGTGTAACCGTTACTGTCCGCGAGCCTTCCTCGTTCCGACTAGCGTGTCTACTTTGACCGTAGTGCACCGAGGTTTATGTATTTCCAGAGGTTGGAAACTCGGGGTACGGGAATTGGGGTTTGGGAGTGGGGGCGCAGCAGAGCTAGTGTATTCTTTTGCTTACCTCGTTTGCAGATCAGTTTTGTGTTGAACTTCTTATCAGTTTTTTGCGTTTAATATAAGTGAACAGATGAACTGAACTGGAAGAGGCAGTCTGCAAAGTTTGTTGGATATTCTTCCAGGTGAACCTCGATTCGATGTAAGTGATTATTATAATTTACACATAAGGAATTGTTATTGTAGGCAATAGCATCGATTGAAGTACGGGCAAAAACACTTGCATTGATTGTTGAGGCTTGTCCTGTAACACTCCAATATTGGTACCATCGGCGGTGGTGGCGGGGAGGGTGGCGGATGTGGGGGAGGTGAAGGAGGGGGAGAGTGGGGAGGCGATGGGGGAGGGCGAGGAGGGGGGGATGGGGGAGGGAAAGGGGGAGGGGAGGGAGGGGGACGAGGAGGGGGACGTGGGGGAGGGGAAGGGGGAGGGGAGGGAGGGGGGCGAGGAGGGGGGCGTGGGGGAGGGGAAGGAGGGGATGGAGGGGGGGACGGGGGAGGGCGAGGGGGAGGTGAGGGAGGGGGGAAGGGAGGAGGGGAGGGGGGAGGCGAGGGCGGTTTTGGTGGGGGAGAAGGGGGAGGAGACGGAGGAGGAGGGGAAGGAGGGGGGGTTGGGGGAGGGGATGGTGGCGGGGGGGATGGGGGCGGTGATGGGGGAGGGGAAGGTGGGGGAGGTGAGGGGGGAGGAGGAGGGGGTGACGGAGGAGGGTTTGGTGGGGGAGAAGGAGGGGGAGAAGGAGGACGGGGAGGAGGAGGAGGGGATGGAGGGCGAGGAGGGCGTGGGGGAGGGGAAGGGGGAGGGGAGGGAGGGGGGCGGGGAGGGGGGCGTGGGGGAGGGAAAGGGGGAGGGGAGGGAGGAGGCCGAGGAGGGGGGCGTGGGGGAGGGGGAGGGGGGGGGAAGGGAGGCGGGGAAGGCGGAGGTTTGGGTGGGGGAAATGGGGGAGAAGGGGGGGGGTTGGGTGGGGGGAAAGGGGGAGATGGGGGAGGGTTGGGAGGAGGGGATGGGGGAGAGGGGGGAGAAGGAGGAGGCTTGGGCGGGGGAGAAGGGGGAGAAGGGGGAGGGTTGGGGGGAGGAGATGGGGGAGAAGGGGGAGGTCTGGGTGGGGGAGAAGGGGGAGACGGGGGAGGGTTGGGAGGAGGAGATGGGGGAGAAGGGGGAGGTTTAGGTGGGGGAGAAGGGGGGGATGGGGGAGGCTTAGGTGGGGGAGAAGGGGGAGATGGGGGTGGGTTAGGAGGAGGGGATGGGGGAGAAGGGGGAGGCTTGGGAGGAGGAGAAGGGGGAGATGGGGGAGGGTTGGGGGGAGGGGATGGGGGAGAAGGGGGAGGTCTGGGTGGGGGAGAAGGGGGAGATGGGGGAGGCTTGGGAGGAGAAGGGGGAGATGGAGGAGGGTTGGGAGGAGGAGATGGGGGAGAAGGGGGAGGTTTGGGTGGGGGAGAAGGGGGAGATGGGGGAGGGTTAGGAGGAGGGGATGGGGGAGAAGGGGGAGGGTTAGGGGGAGGGGATGGGGGAGAAGGGGGAGGCTTGGGAGGAGGAGAAGGGGGAGATGGGGGAGGGTTGGGGGGAGGGGATGGGGGAGAAGGGGGAGGTTTGGGTGGGGGAGAAGGGGGAGATGGGGGAGGGTTAGGAGGAGGGGATGGGGGAGAAGGGGGAGGTTTGGGTGGGGGAGAAGGGGGAGATGGGGGAGGGTTGGGGGGAGGAGATGGGGGAGAAGGGGGAGGTTTGGGTGGGGGAAAAGGGGGAGATGGGGGAGGGTTGGGGGGAGGAGATGGGGGAGAAGGGGGAGGTTTGGGTGGGGGAGAAGGGGGAGATGGGGGAGGGTTAGGAGGAGGGGATGGGGGAGAAGGGGGAGGTTTAGGTGGGGGAGAAGGGGGAGATGGGGGAGGGTTGGGGGGAGGAGATGGGGGAGAGGGGGGAGGTTTGGGTGGGGGAGAAGGGGGAGATGGGGGAGGGTTAGGAGGAGGGGATGGGGGAGAAGGGGGAGGTTTGGGTGGGGGGGAAGGGGGAGATGGGGGAGGAAGGGGAGGGGGTCTAGGTGGAGGAGAGGGAGGAGGGTTGGGGGGCGGAGAAGGAGGCGGGAATGGGGGAGGGAAAGGGGGAGGGGGGGAAGGTGGGGGAGAGGGGGATGGGGGTGACGGTGGGGGGAAGGGAGGCGAGGGCGGGGGTGATGGTTGGGGAGGAAGTGGGGGAGGATGTGGCGGAGAGGGGGGGGGTGCTGCAGGAGAAGGGGGCAAGGGGAAAAAGGGCAAGGGGAAAACGGGAGAGGCACAGAAGGGAAGGATAGAAACAGGAACGTGAGGGTGGTTGTGGTGTGGGTGATTTCGAGAGGGTGGTTATGAGAGGGGAAGAGAGGAGAATGGAGGGAGGAAGAGAAAAAGAATGGAGGGAGGAAGAGAAGAAGAATTGTGGGAGGAAGAGAAAAAGAATGGGAGGAGGAAGAGAAGAAGAATGGAGGGAGGAAGAGAAAAAGAATGGGAGGAGGAAGAGAAGAAGAATGGAGGGAGGAAGAGAAAAAGAATGGAGGGAGGAAGAGAAAAAGAATGGAGGGAGGAAGAGAAAAAGAATGGAGGGAGGAAGAGAAGAAGAATGGAGGGAGGAAGAAAAAATAAATGGAGGGAGGAAGAGAAAAAGAATGGAGGGAGGAAGAGAAGAAGAATGGAGGGAGGAAGAGAAAAAAAAATGGAGGGAGGAAGAGAAAAAGAATGGAGGGAGGAAGAGAAGAAGAATTGTGGGAGGAAGAGAAAAAGAATGGGAGGAGGAAGAGAAGAAGAATGGAGGGAGGAAGAGAAAAAGAATGGGAGGAGGAAGAGAAAAAGAATGGAGGGAGGAAGAGAAAAAGAATGGAGGGAGGAAGAGAAGAAGAATGGAGGGAGGAAGAAAAAATAAATGGAGGGAGGAAGAGAAAAAGAATGGAGGGAGGAAGAGAAGAAGAATGGAGGGAGGAAGAGAAAAAAAAATGGAGGGAGGAAGAGAAAAAGAATGGAGGGAGGAAGAGAAGAAGAACGGAGAGAGGAAAAGGGGAATACTGGAAGGAGGACGAGGGGGAGAATAAATATTGGAGGAAGAGAGGTAGAATGGAGGGAGGAAGAAAGGGAGATGGAGGGAGGAAGAGAGGAAGAATGGAGTGATGGAGGATAAAGGAGGCAACAGGACGAGAGGGGATAGGGAAGCTTAGGGTGGTGTAAAGTGGTGTAGAGAGGTGGAGAGAGCCAGCGAGAGTGAGGCTTATAGGAGGTATGCAGGCAGTCTCTTTAACCGCAAGGGTCGACCCTTTTTGAGATGTCTCTAGAAGAAAGTGTTTGGTAGAGAGTGGTGGAGAGAGGTGGAAAATGGTGAAGAGAGGTGGAGAGTGGTGGAGAGAGGTGCAGAGAGGGAGTGAGGCTTACGAGGAGGCAGGCAGGCAGTCTTGTTAGCCGCAAGAGTCGACCCCCGCCACGTGCAGTTACACTGTATGGTAACCGCACCCGTGGTAACCGCAACGGCGCTAACCACACACACCCCGATCCCATACGTGCACTGCGCGTTACTCCCCGGAGTGGTAACCAGCCCGAAACTCGTCGAACAAAAAGCACTGCAGTCTGCTGCGGTGCGCTGCGCCTCGGTTACGGTAACAGGGTTACCGCCTGTGCTGGTGGCGCTGGTACAGGTGTCGGATGCGTATTGGAGGCAGTTGTTGGCGGTTTGGACGGATGAGGTGGCGTTCGGGCAGATGGAATTTCCGGCGAGGTCGAGTATGTTGCCCGAGCCGAAAAAATAGTTGGTGTGGATGCTGTAGTGTTGGATGAGAGGTGCTGAGCTCATGGGGGGGACTGGCCCGGTGAAATAGTTGGAAGAGAGATCACTGCGGTGGAAGTGGGTGGGGGAGGGTGGGGTGGGATTGGGTTGGGTAGGGCGGAGTTGAATGCGGTGGACTGGGGTGGGGTGGGCCATAAGAGGGAGGCGTGGAAAAAATAGTTGGTGTGGATGCTGTAGTGTTGTATGAGAGGGGCTGAACTCATGAGGGGCACTGGGGTGGGGTGGGGTGGGGTGGGGTGGAATGGGGTGGAATGGGGTGGGGTGGGGAGGGAGGTAACAGAGAGGCATTAGAAGTAGTTGGTGTGGTAGTGTTGGATGAGAGGGGCTGAGCTCATGGGGGGGACTGGCCCGGTGAAATAGTTGGAGGAGAGATCACTGCGGTGGGAGGGGGTGGGGCAGGGTGGTGTGGGATGAGGTGGGGTGGGGTGGGGTATGGAGTTTGGAATAAGAGGGATGCATTGAAGAAATAGCTGGTGTAGATTCAGATGAGAGGCGCTGAGCTCATGGGGGGGACTGGCCCGGTGAAATAGTTGGAGGAGAGATCACTGCGGTGGGATAGGGTGGGGTGGGGTGGGTTGGGTTGGGTGGGTGGGTAGGGGTTTACAGGGGTACATCAAAGATATAGTTTCTGTGTCAGTATAATGGATGATGATGTGTCAGCCCAATAGGATGATGATGTGTCAGCATCATAAGATGGTGACGTGTCATCAGCAGCACATTGCACTCACAGTGTCTGCAGTGACGTCAGCGAGCTGATGATGGGAGCAACGATGCCACTCAGATAGTTGTTGCTGACGTCACTGGTCATGTGTGTGTGGGGGACGGGGGGGAGAGACGGGAGGAGGGAAAAAGGGGAAAAGGGATGAGTGGGGAATGAAGAAGGGGGAAGATTCTTCAGAAAGACGTTTGAGTCGACTCAAGTCAAGAGGCAGAGTTGATTCTTCAGAAAATGAAAGGAAAGCAACTAGGTAAGTTACCAGAGGAAAGAGCTTGTTACATTTCAAATTACAAATTGGGTTACGACATTATGAGTCTCTTGAAAGCTTGCTTACAGCTGTAGAGCGGCAGGCGGGCGGCCAGATTGGACGGCAGTGGGCCTCCGATAGGGTTACCAGATGAAAAGGCTTGTTACCGATTGATGTTACCGGCTAAGTTACAACCTTGTAAGTCACTTGACGAGCTTGAAGCTTACAGCTCGTAAAGCGATTGGCAGGTGGCCAGATTGGAGGGAAGCGGTCCCAGGAAGGAGTTGTGCGATAGATGCCTGGGTAGGGGGAGGAGGGAGTAAGGGGAGGACGTGGAGGTGGAAGGGAAGGGGGAGGGGGAGGGGAAGGGGTGAGAGTGGCCAGATTGGAGGGCAGCGGTCTTAGGAAGGAGTTGTGAGATAGATGCCAGGGTAGCGGGAGGGGGGAGTAAGGGGAGGGGAGAGGGAGGGAAATGTGGCATGTGCCATTCTAATGAAGGTGGCTTGAGAGAGCAGTGGGCAGATATTGTGAAGGCGCCAAACTGGACGGGCAGTTTTTCTGGATTCTTAAGAAACATCCAAATGAGATAGAGTAAGAATCCTTGAACATCCCAATGAGATAGACTAGGAATCCTTGAATAGCCACGTGTAAAAAGGGTATTTTTGAGACGTCTCAAAAACATCCCAATGAGATAGACTAAGCATCCTTGAATATCCCAATGACCGACCAAGTGCCCAGCCCAGCCCAGGCCCATGCCCATACGCTACCCTTGCCGACTTCTGAGACGTCTCAAAATTCAACCAAGTGCCCGGCCCAGGCCCATGGACTATGGTCATACATATGACGAACCAAGTGCCCGGCCCAGGCCCGTGTCTACAAACTGCGCTTGCCCATGCGCTACCCTTGCCCATACCCCACCCTTGCCCACGACAGCAGCCACAACTCCGGAAAGGCAGCCTAGAAAGGTCTTTGAGTCGACTTTATAAAGAGGAAGGCTCATACAGGAATCCCAGAAAGAGGACAATGCTGTTGGTGGTGGTGGAGGCAAGTTCTAAGAATTCTCTAAAACCTCCTGCAAAGAGGAAGGCTCGTACAAGAAGCCCTGAGAGGTCTTTGAGCCGACTTAGAAAGAGCGAGGGTCGTACAAGAAGCCTAGAAATTGCATGCTGCTGGTGAAGATGGGAGGCATGTTCTCGAAAACCTCCTGCAATGAGGAACGCTCGTACAGGAAGCCTATAAATTGCATGCTGCTGGTGAAGATGCTTTTGAGTCAACTCAAAAGCAGGCTCAGAAGAAGAAGGCTCGTACAAGAAGCCTAGAAATTGCATGCTGCTGGTGAAGATGGGAGGTAGAGTGCCATTCAGCTTGTTGTATGAAAGGTCCCTGGGAGGGGGAGAGAGAAGAGAGGGTGGGGAGAATACAGAAGCAGCACACAGCAGGCCGATACATGGATTCTAGTAAACAAGAACAGCACCATTTGAACCAAGGAGAAGGGCAGTCAGTCACATTTGAGTCGACTCAAAAGTCATCTAGTATACAAGAAGAGCAACATTTGAACCAAGGAGAAGGGCAGTCAGTCACAGAGCGACGAGGAGGAATGCTCGGATCGGAGAACACACAGGGAGAAGAGGGAGGTGAGCTCAGACCACTGGAGAGACTTTTGAGTCGACTCAAAAGTCAACTCAAAAGTCGGCAGTCACAGAGCGACGAGGAGGAATGCTCGGATCGGTGAACACACAGGGAGAAGAGGGAGGTGAGCTCAGACAACTGGAGAGGCAGAGATCCTGTGAGCGAGTTGTGATGGAGGAACCTGCATGCAACCAGAGAGGAAGAAAAGGAGTCAACAACAACAGTCAACGCGGGGCATGAGCGTGCTTCTGGGCGCCTCAAATGGGCGGTGGTCAAAAGGGCGGTTGTCAAAAGGGCGGTTGTCAAAAGGGCGGTCGTCAAAAGGGCGGTCGTCAAAAGGGCGGTGGTCAAAAGGGCGGTGGTCAAAAGGGCGGTGGTCAAAAGGGCGGTGGTCAAAAGGGCGGTGGTCAAAAGGGCGGTGGTCAAAAGGGCGGTGGTCAAAAGGGCGGTGGTCAAAAGGGCGGTGGTCAAAAGGGCGGTGGTCAAAAGGGCGGTGGTCAAAGGGCGGTGGTCAAAAGGGCGGTGGTCAAAAGGGCGGTGGTCAAAAGGGCGGTGGTCAAAAGGGCGGTGGTCAAAAGGGCGGTGGTCAAAAGGGCGGTGGTCAAAAGGGCGGTCGTCAAAAGATTGCTGATTACAAAAGTTCCTTCTAAATAATGTGCTACTGACCATGAGTGTGCTTATCACAAACATGCTTACATTATGGCCAGAGAGCCGAGGGAGGAGAGGGCAGAGGGTATCGACCCAGTGAGGGTGTTGTTGGCCAGGCCGCTGCAGTAGAGCAAGGGAGAGAGGGGTGATCGGTGGGTGTGTGAGCAAACAGGTGATTCTCCTAAATCCGTCAAGCTGTCAGGGGTGGACTGATCGAGGGAGGTGGTAACTGACAGGGATGGCGGGTAACTGACAGGGGGAGAGTGTAACTGACAGCAGGAGATGGGAACTGACAGGGGGAGGTGGTAACTGACAGGGGGAGGTGGTAACTGACAGGGGGAGGTGGTAACTGACAGGTACTGGAGTGCAGCGAGAGAGCTGAGGCCTGCAGGCAAGGAGCCCGAGAGCTTGTTGTACGATGCACTCCTGTGAAGGGGAAGAGGGGGAAGGGCGCCGTTGAGTGCAAGCAGAAACGAAGCAGGGTAGGTACTGGAGTGCAGCGAGAGAGACAAGACCTGCAGGCAGGGAGCCTGAGAGCTTGTTGTACGATGCACTCCTGTGAAAGGGGAACGGAGGGAGAGGGCGTTGGAGTGCAAGCAGAGACGAAGCAGTGTAGGTACTGGAGTGCAGCGAGAGAGCTGAGGCCTGCAGGCAAGGAGCCTGAGAGCTTGTTGTACGATGCGCTCCTGGGAGGGGGAGAGGTGGAGGGGAGGGGGCGAGCTGATGTGGGGAGAGTGTGTGGGCGAGCCAGAGAGGAGAGGCCTGCAGGCAAGGAGCCCGAGAGCTTGTTGTACGATGCACTCCTGTGAAGGGGAAGAGGGGGAAGGGCGCCGTTGAGTGCAAGCAGAATGCACTCCTGTGAAGGGGAAGAGGGGGAGGGGGAGAGGAAGAGGGTGGGGACGGGTGAGTGAGAGCGGAGGCGAGGGGGCCAACAAGCAAGGAGCCATTACAGATCCTGTCAGGGCTGAGCATATACGGTGTAGGCACTTGAAACAAGACTTAGGAAGACTCACAAGGACCAACACCACACAGACTCAAGAGAGTCGACTTTTGAGTCAACTTAGGAAGACTCACAAGGACTCACACCTCACAGACTCAAGTGAGTAACTTGTAAATAAGAGAGGCAAAGGTGGAGACAAAAGCCGGCTTTTGTCGGGGTTAAAGTTTCAGGGTTTAAGTAGGGTCTTGAAACAAGAACTTGCAGTAACTCACCAGATTTTCAGTTGGGTACACGAGAGAAGCAAAAGAGGAGAATGACGCCAATACAGATGATGTCGTGGTTCAGGGTTTAGGTCTTAGGGTCTTACAACAATAGCTCACGAGACTCACAGGTATATGAGAGAGGCGAAGGAGGAGACTGAAGCCGGCACAGATCCTGTGAGGGCATTTCTGTCAATGAAGCTGCAGGGAAGCAAGGAAGGTGCAGAAGAGAAGAGAAGGAAAAAAGTAGCAGGTAGATCAGAGAGGCAAGACAGGAGACTGAAGCCGGCGCAGATCCTGTCAGGACATTTCCGTCAATGAAGCTCCAGGGAAGGAAGGGAAGGTGCAAGGAAGGTGCAGAAAAGAAGAGGCGGTACGAAACAGAACAGCACATAAGAGAGCACAGAGGAGGGAGAACAGAGGCGGTACGGAACAAAACAAGTATCCACTCTGCTGACGAGGTTGACAGACAGAGGACAGAGAGAGAACACAATCTTTGGGAGCGAATCCAGTGATACTGCTAGATAGCTAAGGAAGGTTGCTCCGCGCACTGACAGGAACTGTAGGTTGGTGAGGGTGCTGAGCTGCAGACGAACAAAGCACCCGCAAGCGAAGGTGGGGAGAGCTAAGAAGGGTGGGAAGAAGAACCTTCAACAACTCCCATAAGTGAATCCAATAATGACGGTACTGACAGGAAGCGGAGGTTGGTGAGGGTGCTGAGCTGCGCTGGGATGGCTCCTGTGAGCGTGTTGTTGCTTAAATAGCTGTGGGATGGGGTTGGGTGCGGGGGAGTGGGGTGGGATGGGTTGGGGATGGGTAATCATGAGTCACAGATTGAGCTGCGCTGGAATGGCTCCTGTGAGCGTGTTGTTGCTCAGATAGCTGGCGGGGGGTGGGGTTCTGTGGAGTGGGGTGGAGTGGGTTGGGGTGTCACAAGACGCAGGTGGAGCTGCGCTGGAATGGCTCCTGTGAGTAAGTTGTTGCTCAAATAGCTGGCGCGGAAGGTGGGGTGCAGTGGGATGGGGTGGAAAAGGGATGGGTGGGGCGGAATTGGGTGGGATGGGATATCATGAGAGGCAGGTGGATTTGGGTTGAATGGCTCCTGTGAGAGTGCTGCAGCTCAAATAGCTGGGGGGAAGATGGGGTGGAGTGGGGTGGAGTGGGGTGAGGTTGGTTGGGACGGGTGGGAGGGGGGTGGGACTCAAATATAGAATTGACGAAACAGGAGTGGCTCAAAATAGGAATGAGCGACCCGTAATCGCAGCGACTCCCACAATCCGTCTCAAAATGTCACCCAGATGTAAAAAGTGAATTTTTGAGACGTCTCAAAATTTCACTTTTTACACGTGCCGTCTGTCCAGCTTAGAGAGGAGGAGTCTAGGGTGTGTGTGCCTATTCAAGACGCTTTTGAGACTTCAAACATGGACCCAGATTTACCAGTGAGTTGACTTTTGAGTCGACTCAAAAGGGTTGAGTTTTGAGTTGATTCAAAAGTCAAATATGGACCCAGATGTACCAGTGAGTTGAAAAGTCGGAGCGAAAGAATGAAGTGACTCACAGTCCGTCCAGGTTGGTGAGGGCGCTGAGCTGCGAGGGGATCGTGCCGGTGGGCATGCTGAGAATTCAGATCTAGGAGCGAATCAAACGTGAAAGGCTACAAGTGTTAAACGGAATCGGAGTGACTCACAATCCGTCCAGGTTGGTGAGGGCGCTGAGCTGAGAGGGGATCGAGCCGGTGAGCTTGTTGTTCCGGAAGTCCCTGGTTTGAGGAGGTGGTGGAGGAGGGTGGAGGGATGGAGGGATGTAGGGGTGGGATGGAGGGGTGGCCTTGAGTGCAGAAAGGGAAATCGGAACTTGCCGTCTAATTTTGAGACGGTTCTCAAGTACAGTGACCCTGAATCTTACTTTTGAGTCTGTTCTCACTCATGGTGACCCATGGAAAACTGGTGATCCTGAATCTTACAGCGTTTGCATGGCCTTGAGTGCAGAGAAAGACGGGGGAATCGCTCCTGTGAGCAGGTTGTCCTTCAGGTTACTGCAGTGGTGCAGGGGGGTGCAAGGTGGCGCGAGGTGGTGCAAAACGGTGCAAGAACTTGACAGGTGGGTGATCATAAGGTTCAACGGAGGGAGGGCATAAGCGGGAGCCAAGAATCGAGGTCCAAAGGGAAGGACAGGAGGAGCCGAGGAGGAGGAGAGGGAAGCTTGTTGAGGGTGGTCCATACAGAGAGGCCGTGACGAAAGAAGGGGGATGAGAAAAGCTGAGGGAAAGGAGGGGGGCATCGAATTCAAATTTAGATGGAAGAATCCCAAACATAAAATCCCAAACGTAAATTGCGGTTCTGGGCACAGCTGCACGTAAGGGCAAAGGCAAAATCCCAAACGTGCCAATGGCAAAAATAAGCCAAGGGAAAAAATGATCAACGTGCAAAATAAAACCAAACGCAAAAGTAAGTCAATGGTAAGGGCAAAAGCAAGAGCCAGGGGCAGAAGTGAAAGCGAAGGGCACACATTAAAGCCAAGCAGCTGGGTGGGAGGGGCATACAGTTGGGTTAGTGCCACGAGTCTTGAGAGGCCAGCGGGAATTGAACCCGTGAGCTTATTGACGTCTAGCCGGCTGGACGGGGAGAGGGGAGGGGTGACGGAGAGGATAGAAAAGACACTGTCTGGAGAGGCCAGCGGGAATTGAACCCGTGAGCTTATTGACGTCTAGCCGGCTGGACGGTGAGAGGGGAGGGAGACATGAAGGGGAGGACAAGAAAAGCTTTGAGGATTCTCAAAAGGAATTCCAATAGAACCTTGACTAGACAGTCGGGTTAATTACCTCAGATCAACAGAAATGAAACCACTATAATATGGAGACACACTCCCGAGTTCAAACGTACACACAGGACAGTCAGGTTAGTTACTGCAGAGAATGACTTTTGAGTCGACTCCAGAGTCACATCTTTGGACAGTTAGGGCAGTTAGGTTCAGCGCTCCCAAGTCCCAACACACGCACACGACAGTTAGATTAGTCAGTGCAGAGAATGCCGCTGGGATGGACCCAGACATTGAATTGTTGATCGTTTAGTTTTAAGGCGCCTCAAAACTAGAATTGTTGATAATTTTTTCGTTCACATCACTCACATTTGATTGATCATGTAAGTCTAAGCTAAGAAATTCCAGCATACATACGCACAGGACAGTTAGGTTGGTTAGTGAGGAGAATGCCGCAGGTATTGACCCCGACATTGATTTGTTTATCATTTTTCCGTCACATCACTCACACTTGATCATGCACGTCTAAGCTAAGCAATCCCAGCATACGCACAGGACAGTTAGATTAGTAAGTGCGGAGAATGCCGCAGGTATGGACCCAGACATTGAATTGTTGATCATCTTTCTGCATTAAATTAAAACATACAAAAAAAAAAGAGGGAAGGTGGGGGGGGGGAGGGGGAGGGGGGCAGGAAGAAACGTGATGAGAGTTCGTGAAGCGGGGAAGCGTAAAGGAGATGCTTAACCACTATCACACATCAACTGCCACGTCACACATCAACTGCCACGTCACACATCAACTGCCACGTCACACATCAACTGCCACATCACACATCAACTGCCACGTCACACATCAACTGCCACGTCACACATCAACTGCCACATCACACATCAACTGCACGTCACACATCAACTGCCACGTCACACATCAACTGCCACGTCACACATCAACTGCCACATCACACATCAACTGCACGTCACACATCAACTGCCACGTCACACATCAACTGCCATGTCAAACATCAACTGCCACGTCACACATCAACTGCCACGTCACACATCAA